GGGGGCAGAGGCTCTACAGGAGAAGCAGAGAGGCCTATGGGAGAGTAGGCTAAGGGAAGGAAGGGGCTGCAGAGAGGACCACAGGGCTGGCAGTTTGTCAGTACAGGGTGGCAGCAGAGAGGAGGAGCAAGGGGATCAGAAAGGAGGTGGCCACTGGAGTCAAGTGTCGCCAGAGTCTGGGAGAAGGCAGGATTAGGGTTGCATTAGGGTGACCGGGCATCATAGCACCTGGGGTGGGAGGAGTCAGTGCTTGGCTTCCGAGCCCGAAAGCTAAGCCCAGCCAGGTGGGCACCGGGAGTTGGGAAGTGGCTTTGATGAATGGTAGGACTGCACGAGAGGCCAGAAGGCTAGGATGGAGGACAAGGACCTGTGTAATCCAGCAGGAGGCATAAGGAAAGTCGAGGGGGTGGAGGATGTATGCGGGAGGCTGGGGAGGAAATGAGCAAGTGAAGACACGGCTGAAATGAAGACCACTGAGCGGGAGGACTGAAGCCCATGGAAAGGTGGGAGCCGGGGAGAAAAGAAGGCTGCGGAGTAGTGCTAAAACTTCTGACAGTCGGGGGAAACCTGGGACCAGAAAAATGCCTCAGCAGTCAGGACCCAGGTTCAATTCCATGCCCTCGTCAGAGTCCTGGGCAGCAGCCCTTATGCCTTCCTCTGGTCTCCCCTAGGGCCAGGCAAGCAGTTTGTGTAAGGATTCTACCCTTATTATGTCGTCATCAGCCTGCGACAGCATCCCAGCCTGAAAAGCAGACTTGCCATCTACTCTCTCTCCCTATTCTCTCTGTCCTCTGCGCGGTCCGCGGTCCCGCAGTCGTGGTCTCTCTCTCTCTGTCTCTCTCCATCTCTGTCTCTGTCTCTCTCTCTCTCTCTCTCTCTCTCTCTCTCTCTCTCTCTCTCTCCTTCCTCCTAATAAAGCTCTAAAAAGGCACCCATGGCTCGTGATTCTTGTGCGGTGGCATCCAGCGCTCTCTTCTGCCGCCATGGCCAGTGCACTAGGCATGGCCGGCCAGGAGCACCTCTATACGCCTTCACTTTGTCTTCAGAACGTTCACAAGGCCAAACTGCCTTTCACGTGGGGTGGAGAGTTCCGATAGAAGGGGACGTGACAAACAGAACAAAGGTGTGGATGAGGTAATGAGCTGGATGAGTAAGAGGCCTCCTGAGGATCTTGAGGGGGATCTGTACCTTGAGGAGGAAACAGGCTGCTCCTGGGGAGCTTGCGAAATGCACAAAGGACAATGTGTAGGAGAGGACTGGTGACTAAGGGAGCAGGCTCTGGAACGCCGCCGGGAGACTAGGGGAGGGCAGAAGCCTGGAGACCACGACAGCATGAAAACAAAGGAGACAGCGGGCTGGGGAGGGCAGGAAAGCAGAAGCTGTCACCAGAGTGGGGGATGGGCTGGCTAAGAGGGTGGGGCGACAACAGGAGATTCAGGAGGCTATACGAACCTGGACCCTGACTAGCTGGGAACTTTGGGCGGGGACCTTGCAAAGCCTCTACTTTACTCTCAAGATGGCTGGAACATAAAGTGCTGAAGGAAACTCACTTAGAGCATGGGATACTAGAGGGTGGAGGAGGGTGGGAAAGAGGCTCACTAGGAAGGTTAGAGGTGGTGTGGAGGGCAGGAAGTTTCAGGAAGCTTTGGAAAGACTAAGGAGGAATGCCAGAGTGGTTAGGATAGGTTAGGAGGCTGGTGGAAGTCAAGAGGCTGAGAGGGAACACAGAAGCCTGGAGAAGAGGCAGGGAGTCTGGGAGGGCAAATCTGAGCGAAAGGCTCAGTTGGAGGGTAAATCTCCTGTGAGGACTAGGTGTGGGGCTGGAGGCTGTGGGAACAAGCAGGCCTACTGTTTTTGGCTAGATAGGCCCTCAGGAGGTTCGGGCATTCTTGATATAATGGGAGGACATAGGCCTAGGTAGGACAGCTGGAGGCTGAGAATGACAGAATTCTGGGAAAGGCTCTGAGGTGTTGGTCTCAAGGTTCAAGGGGGATGTTAGGAGACTAGTGAACAGCAGAAGTCTGTAGAGGACCACAGGATCGAGAATGGAAAGTTTGAAGGCTGGGGGCTCCAGAAAGTGAGGGCCTTTGGGGAGAGGGCCCGATGATTAGCATAAGCCCAGAGAGTCAAAGGCGCACCGGAAGTAAAAGGCCAGTGGGGTGAGAGGGGCACAAAGATGAGTCTCAGAGTGCTTGGGTGGAGGAGCCTGGGAAGGAAGGGAGCTGGGAGCCTTGTGCTGGGTGCAACTGACAGAAGTTTTCTGTGAAAAGCCAGTGTCTGGCAGAGGGCAGAGGACTCCGGTAGTACAGGAGCCTGTGGAGGAGGCCGGAAGTTGACTAAGGAGAGCAGAAGCCTTGGGGTATGATGTGAGCATGAGAGAGTACAGATGATCTCAGAGTAGGACAGGAGTCTCGAACTAATGGGGCGTGCCTGGGGGAGGAAAGAAAGTTGGAGAGAGGTAAAGAGGGTCATGTGGATCAGCGCGGGAGGGAGTCAGGTTGACATGGGAGGGCAGGAGGCCTAGGGAGGAATGGAAGCTGGCTTCAGGAGAGTTGTTTGAGCTAGATGTTAGGAGTGTGAGGAGTCTGAATGCTGCTCAAGGAAGGGTAAGAAAGCAGGGAGCTGGGAATCAGTCTGGGGGACTCTAGGAGGGTGTTTATCATGAAAGTAGGCACTGGGGTTTGGAGAAGACAGGGCAGGGTGAAAGGCTCAGGAGGAGTGCCAGACACTGGGCGAGGGGCCAGAGTTAAAGGGACAGGAAGGGGCTTGGGAGCAGGTTCTCGGTGAGTGTAGGAGGCTTCGGGATGTTTAGCTGTATGGACAGGATTGTAGGCTTAGGAGTAAGGCAGGGTTTACATGGGGGAGGGCAGGAGACTCATAGGATGGGGCTGTGCTGGAAGGCAGAAGGTTTTAAGGGAGAGCAGGAAGCTGGGAGAAGTTGTCAGCAGTCTTAGAAAGTTGGGCTGTCAAGGGAGGGCCAGAGTGCAGGCTGGGTGGGCAGGGCGGGGCGGGGCAGGAGGATTTGGGGGTAAAAATCACGTAGGAGACTAGGGGATGACAGCGGTAGTGAGGAGGGGTGGACAATGGCTGGAGAGCAGCGGGGCAGTAGGGGGTCAAGAAGGGCAGGAAGTTCAGGGAATGATGCAGTCTATGGGTTAGGAAGTCACACAGGAGGGCAAAGAGTCAAGAGGAGGAGAGGCTCCCGGGGAACACAGCTGGAGGATGGGGAAGAAGCCAGGAGCCTGGGGATAAAGGTTGAAGACTGGGTGGATAGAAGAATGGGTGTCAGGAGTGAGAAAGGCCAGAGGCCCTGGAGAAGCCAGTGAAGAAATGGATGCACAAAGAAAGCCATCATTTCCTAAATAGGGGGCATCCTGGGGCACTCAGAGTTACGTCCAGCCTGGATGTAGGGGTTCAGGTGACACTCACTGATTGTCACCAAGAGCTCTCTAGGGGTCAGAGCACCTTGAGAAGAACAGAAGTCCCAGCAGCCCTGGTGGTGGGTTGTTTGTGCCATCTGCCAGCAGTAACATACCCCTGAGTCCCTGAGTTCCACTATTTCAGTCCCAATCATCCCACCAGATCCCTGATGTCCTACCCACTCGGCAGGATCACAGGGTCCCACAAACCTCGGGGCCAGACCGGTATTTTTGTGTGAAGAGTCAACTATGTGCTAGTGGGATGCCGAACAATTCTATTCCTGGGGACTGGATGGTCAGTTAACCATGGGTGAACACTACTGCTGCTCTTAACATTCATTAATTAAAATTAATATTGTGAACTCTGTCCTTCTGAACTCCCATTGAAGAGTTTGCTATGATTAGAACACTTAGAGTCTAGCATGGGAAGACGGGCCACAGGCAAACAATAAGTGTAACAGACTGAGTAGGTGTGGGAGATGAAAAATGCTGTGGGTAAATGACCAACACCCCCCCACACCCCCCCCACACACACACACGAGGAGACTCCAAATTAAACCCATGCAGCATCTGGCCATGGTGCTTCCAGTCAAATGCTTTGCCCTACACGTTAGTTACTGGACAAACCAGCCCCACTGGCAGCAGACGGTCCACTGCTGGTCTCAGAAGTGGGGACTTCAGCTCAGGTCATATGCTGATATTGCTGCCAGCAAGAGGCAGCTTGAGCATGTGTTCCAAGGGATAAAGCCCTGCCCACAGTGAGCGCATGCTCCCTGGAGATAGATCTAAGCAGTAGAGAGGCCATAACATAAGCGTGTGTATTAACTGAGCCCCCCCCCCCCCACTTCTTGTAGGAGTAACTGGAAGAGGGATTCTCAGGGCCCTAGGCTGTACAGCTTGTTCACTGGCGTCATGGAGACTGCTCTCCAGTTGTAGTTGGGCCGGATGCTCTGCACTACCACCACGTCGACAACATGGCCTACAAGAGGGGTGTAGCCCACGGGGCACTTCAGTGAGCGGAAGGTGAAAAAGATGGTGTGATTCAGCACTCCTTGTCGTTTGTGGATACTAGTCACGCAGACCTGTCAAGAGAAAGCATGGCAGTGAGTGTGGGAAAACTGGGTCCCTAGGCAACCTCTGTCCCTCCACATTCTAGCTCTAAACACTTGTTGACCCACTGTGTCGCTGTGTCCTGTCCTACCTGCTACACTGCCAACACTAGGGTGTGTGTCACCTACTTCCTTCCCCGGCTCCAACCTCACACCAATTTAAGAGGAGAGTCTTCTGGTGGTCTGTCCTGCTGGTGAGAGACCACGTCCTAAATATTAGTCACCAGTGGCCATTAGGCCCTGTGGTTAATGTGGACAGATCAAGGATTGACTGACAAGGAAAAACAGCAGGAAGTGGACTATTACCACCCCTGTACCCCGGCACTCTTCAAGCACATGACATCATCTGTACCTTGTTGGAGACTCATTTCAGGCTTGCTGAACCACAGCCCCAGCCCCCGCCCCCGCCCCACTTTGCATTCCAGCTTTTCCAGCAATGTTCTCTGGACTGCTCATCTTTCTTCCAGTTGTGTTTAGAATGTCCCACATGACAGTTCTCGTGGTAAGCCCTGCGACTCAGAATTGAAGTATGTGCATGTTTATTCTCTGTTACCTTTAGTTACTTCTTTACAAAGTCCTACCATTTAAGTAAATGGGCCAAGGAGATAATTCTTCCATATGTTCCCAGCACACCCTACAGACAGCTAGTCCCAAATACCACTAAAGGAGGCTTGGAAACAAGCCAACAACATCGAAAAGCAGTTACCTCTTGCAGGCGCCTACACTTCGTGGCCTTCAATGAGTGTATTGTGAGCTTTGATGATCCTCGGTCCAAAGAATACTCAATATCTAACCAATCCCCTTCATACGGCATAAAACCTAAGATAGCTAAAAAAAAAAAAAAAATCGAGTTGAAAATTCTACCATCTACTCCAGTCTCATCTTTAGAAGGTTCTGGATGAAAGCAATTACATTTTAACTTTGGTCAAGTAAATTTCACTGGTTGCATTGACTTGTAATACCATGATAAAGTGAGTATTAGGTATAAAGTGCAGATGGCTTATAAATCTTCCAGCCAGAATTGAAATTGACAATTCTTTTGGGTTTGTTTGATTGGTTGTATTTTTGAGACAGGGCTTCTCTGCTGTCCTGGAACTCCCTTTGTAGCCCAGGCTGGCCTCGAACTCACAGATCTGCCTGCCTCTGCCTCCTGATTGCTGGGATTAAAGGTGTTTGCCACCACCGCTAGGCTCAGAAATTGCTAAGTTTTAGACATTGGTTTTGCTCCATCCCCTTAGCCGCCTCAAGTGAGCAAATGGACGATGACATCACAATCCATTTCACTGGGCAGACTGGAGGATTTACTGCCTAACTGGTCACATTCAGAGTGCTCTTTTTGAGACAGGGTCTCAAGTATTCCAGACTGTCTTCAGACAGACTAATTCTCTTTCCTTTTCTCCCTTCTCTCTTTTCTCCCTCCCTCTCCTCTGTCTCTTCTCTCTCCCCTTTCTCTCTCTCTCTCTCTCTCTCTCTCTCTCTCTCTCTCTCTCTCTCTCTCTCTCTTCTCTCTTCTCTCTTCTCTCTCTCTCTCTCCCCTGTGTCCCTCTCTTCCTCCCTACCTCCCTTTCTCTCTACCCCCTTCTTTTCTATCCTTTCTCTCATTCCATCTATCTCCCTCTCCGTCCCTCTTCCTCCCTTCCTATCTCCCATTTCTCCCACTCTCCCTTTCTCTGTCTCCTCTATTCCTTTCTTGCCCCCTGCTCCCTTCCTCCTCCCCATACACTCTCCCCTTCATTCTCTCTCCCTCCCTTCTCCTCACTGCCTATCTCTCCCTGTCTCCCATGTCTCTCTTCCCTTCCCCTCCCCCATTATCTATCTCCTTCATTCTCTATTGTTTTTTTAAAGATTTATTTATTTATTGTGTATATAGAAGAGGGTGCCAGATCTCATTACAGATGGTTGTGAGCCACCATGTGGGTGCTGGGAATTGAACTCAGGACCTCTGGAAGAACAGTCGGTATTCTTAACCTCTGAGCCATCTCTCCAGCCCCTTCATTCTCTATTTTTCTCTCTTCTCTACATCTCCTCCCTTTTTACTTCTCCATTCCCCTTTCCCTTTGTCTTTCTCACTCTCTATCTCTCCCCCTCTCACTTTCTCTCTGTCCCTCTCTCTCCCTTCTCTCTCTCCAGCTCTCTCCCCTATTCTATCCCTCCCGCCTCTCTCCTTCCCTCCTCTTTTCCTCTATCACTCTCTCATCTCCCTCTCTCTACCCCCTAAGCCTCTCCTCTTTTCTTCCCTCTCTGTCCTTCTCTCTCTTTGCCTTTCTGTCTCCCTCTCAGTCCCTCTCTCTACACGCCTCTTGCTATTTCCCTCCTCAAATCATTTCTTTCCTCTCTCACTGCCTCTTTCTCTCCCGTCTCATTTCCCTCCTCCTCTCTTGCTTTCTCCCCGCTCTCATTTTATCCCTCACCCTGCCTCTCTAGCTCTCTGCCTCTCTGTATAGACACAGGGGTGGTAGGAACCAGACTCAGGGTTTCTGCAGAGAAGTATGAGCTCTTACGACCTGCTCCATCTTTCTGACCACAGCACATCTTAATGTTTTGAAAAATGCTTTCTCTGTGACTCAGAAACATCTGTAACTCCAGGTCCAGGGGATCCAACACTCTCTTCCCAACTCTGTAGGCAACTGTACTCATGTACACAGATGAAAACACATGCACACACACACACACACACACACACACACACACACAAACAATTTAAAAAAACGTTAAAAAATGTAAAGATTTGTATGCACTTGTAATAATTTTGCTATCAGAGTTAAATACCCACATGAATGAAAATGTTGTCCACATTTTACTCTCTGCATTCAACTAATGAATGACACCTAGCACCTGGCAAATGAGAGTGTGATGTTTCCGAGCATTACCTGTTCCTAGCTGCATTGCACTTTACTTTCCGCGCCCAAGATCATTCACAAATAACAAAGAATCCCTGAGTGCAGCAGAATGTGCTGTAGCCAAACCAATGTCAGCACTGATCCCTCAAAATGTTAAACAGGACCCGTCGTTAAAGTAGCAATCAAACCTTTAGAAATGCTGTCCAGATAGAAGTAGTATTCATCCGCTAGGCAGATATTATCTTTCCTCACGTGGGAAACACACACGGATAATTCATGGATCTTGGAGTATGGTTCTCTAGGCCTGTCATCTTCGATTAAAACACAAACCTACAAGATGGGGAAGCGGCAATAAAAACATGATCAAAATCAAAATGGAAACGTGGATGTCTAAAACACTGCCTGTGGAAGGACTGAGCTAGGAAAGGCCCTGAGGGAATCGAAGATTCCAGATTTAAGACATCCTCCTTTGTTGCAAACAGCTTGGCTCATTGGGAAGTCTTTCTCCACTGGGCTCTTTCCAGCTGTCATTACCAATTCCATGATTATTTCCCTCAATTTGGCTTTCTTGAGGAATGAAGTACCAGGAACTTGTCTATTCACTACCACCCTGTTAGTCTCTAGGTAGATGATCCACTGCACCACAGACCTGTCTGTGCCCAGATGCCACACAACTTGATAGCCATGGTGCCCAATGATCCTACCAGAAACCTCATGTCCAGGACCCATTATCATAATTCCCATTCCCTTAATACAACAGGGAAAGCAGACCAATTCAGTTGTTTGTGAGGACGGTAGAAGCAGCCTTTCAATACAATATAGGCACAAAGGTTTCTCCACTTTGTGGGAAGGGAAAACAGTGAGATATTCATCCTTCTCTGTGTGTGCGTATAGTTGACCACAGTCTTGTTGAATGTTCAGATGTAAATAAACTCTGATAGGAAAAAGGACCGTAATACATGGGTGAGTTAGGTATTGGTGTAAGATTCTCTGTGTATTCCTACTGAACACATGGGCAAGAAGAGCTGTATTTAACACTGATTGTCAAAAGGTCAAAAAGGTGTTGATGGGACAATGGGCCACGAAGCCTTCCTGTGTTCCTTTTCTTAAGAGTCCAATTTGCTTGCTATGCAAACAGTAACAATGTCCCTGATTGAAAGAAAATGAAAATGTAAGAAAAAAAATGGATGTATTCTCCTGAAGACCTCCACCAGTTCCCAAGAGAATTTTTAGGCTGCTTTTCCCTTCTAAGATTTGCAAGGCTTTGGATGTTCAGAGCCCTTCCTTGCAAGTACTGTGAAAGAGACAGTCTGGTGCTAGGAGATCAATTAGTGTAGCAATGTTAGCAGGTAATTTCATCAAATCTCTTCTCTGTGCTATAGTTCAAGACTCTCTAAACTTTACAACTTGGGGATCTCACAGCCCCAATGGGAGAAGCCAGTGGATTGTCAGTGTTACCTCAGTAAGTGTTTTCTGAAAGACAAACACACACAGCATTTGAGATAACACTTCCACTTTTGTGAATGCATCCTTGAACACACATATTTTACCTGACAAAACACAGTTGCAAGATGCTGTTGTGTCTAATGCTTATCACTGTTGATCCTTCTGTTTGAACACTGGGACAACATAGGATTTTACAATGTAAAACATAGAACTCGGGGGTGGGTATGGTAGCATAGACTCCACAGGCTGAGGGTGGAGGATTCCAGGAGTACCTGGACACCTAGGCAGTACAGTGACACCCCCCCCATACTTGTTCTCTCTCTCTCATTCTCTCTCTCTCTCTCTCATACACACAAAGACACACACACATAGAGAGAGAGAGACACAGACAGAGACAGAGACAGAGAGACAGAGAGAGGGAAACAAAGAAGAGCCTGCAGCTGCAGGGGACTTTGAATTTCATGACAGCCACTATATGGGCGCTGGAGAGGTTAGTTTGTTTAAATGGCAATAGCAAGGTTGAAGGTCCATGGGAAATGAGTCTTCCCAACCTATGCCAAGCTTACTTCGGTTGCTCTCAAGTCAAATGATAGTGGATCTTCCTCCACAAATGCAAGGACTTTATCTCCGACTTGCACACGCAAAGGGCTGACCATAGCATCAATGCTGAAGAAGACACAGTTCTCGATCCAGCCATAGTCGTCCCCACAGCTTGTCACAGTACCCTTCACAATCTTGGTGTTGGGTTCCCCTGTGGATGGGGACACGGCAGGTGCCATCAATTAATCTCACATTCAAAATCCCATTCCAAAGAATCCTCCCCAAAGATGACATGGTACAAAAAACGTCCTTCTTCAAATAGAATGCTTCTAGTTTGAGGAGCCCATGCAAGGGGCTGGAAGCATGAGGGGGACCTCTGCAGGATTCTGGAGGCAGAATGTCCAGGTTCAAATCCTGCCTTTGCCATGCTCTATACAGGAGGACCCTGGTTAAGGGTGGGAGTTGGAAACTAGATAGCCTTGGTTATAACCACAGTGTCCTTCATTCATGGTCTGTCCCCAGTACTTTTCTTGCCCTCTCTGACCATGTTGTGCAATTATGTCTCCTGATGTCTGTTGTGCACATTAACTGGTACAAACAGGTCAACCTCGTACAACTGTGAGTGTCCTGTACACCTTAGAGTTCAAGGTCCATGGGTAGACATTCTTTCCAGGACCACAATTACTGTCAAGTGTTGTCTAATAAGTCACCACAGTGAGAGACAGCCTGTGGAGAGTTTAAAGACTCATCTGAGACAGGCCTGTGGGCACAAGTCTGTAAAGCCAGCTACTTGGGAGAATGACAGAGAGGAATCAAAGGTTCAAGGCCTTCCTAAGCTGCAAATCAAGTCCCAGACCATGCTGGGCAACACAGTGTGTCGTCCTTGAGTTAGAATGCCAATGTGAGGAAAGGACCGTGTTGAAGTTCAGGTGCACAATGTCTGCCTAGCATACAGAAGACCTTAGGCTCCAGCCCAGCACTCCATCCAGACAATTAATAGAATGGATTTGGTTTCTAGACAGGCCTAGGGCTCATTCAGTATGCAGCTTAGGTTGGCATCAAATTCTGACCCTCCTGCCCTCACAAAAGGCTGAAGGATAGGCATGGCAAGACCGAGGCTTCCCTTGAAGGATTGCTCATGAATATTAAGCACATGCTTTGCACGTAGAAAGAGCAGACACAAGTTCGAATGACTTCAGAGCTTGGATGCCATTCACCTCAGCAAAGCTTCTTACATTGTCCTAGATTGCCACCCACGCACAGGTCTTCACCCATTCTGCTTGAGTGTACGCTAAATGTGAGATTCGAGTTGCAGGGAACAGAGTGATCATCATTAAGTCATGCCCCTGATCTCCCCTACTTGGCAAAGAACTGGGACTGACTCCCTTGTTGCCTCAAATACAAGCCAGGATGAGAACCAAGACTGAATCTGAATCCACGATCAAATGTGGGTGCCTTCCTGCTCCCAGAAGTAGAAGAAATGCTTCTGGCAAAGGTCCACCAAGAGGATCTGGTACACGGTTCAATGTTCACCTAACTCACGGGTACCTGGGGACACCCTTCCAGTCAACAGCCACTGAGGACAGCTGCAGACCTCTCCTGATCTTTTGCCCCCTGTGCTCACAGCTGAGGAAAGCCTTTCTGAGGTGTCTCCTGCAGTGAAGTTTGGGCACCGAGGGTACCCGGGGAGTACCTTCCAGACGTTCCCAGTTTCTTTCAACAGAATCAATCTTCCACTGCAAGAAGTAAACTATGCTTCGGAACAGCCTGCTGATACCACAGTCGGAGCATTCACTGTAATAGCAGCATGAAGGCCTAGACCTTGTGATCCCCATGGTGTTATCTCCTGATTTTCTGCCTCATTCCTGGGAGATGGTACCAGATGGCTACTGGGCAGCCCTCAGGACTCTCAGGCTCATCCTACCACCCCAGCAGCTGGGCAGAATTTTGGTCCATAGCCTCTCCAGAGATCCTGGGAACCAGCTGGCATTGTTCCACCCACCAACCAATGAGAGCCCTGCATGTGCTCACAATGCCCCACTGGCCAATGGCAGGCACTGAGAGAGAAAACATGGATCCTCCTGCTCATTATGCCCCTACCATAGGACCATCATGGAAATGTACTGACCTGTGAATGATGGACTGCTTTGTTTTATATGGTTGTTTACTCTTTTGGGGGCCTGCCACCCACTTTCTAAATAAATCACACATGAAAGCTTATTCGTAATTATGAATGCCTGGCCTTAGTTTGGCTTGTTTCTTACCAGTTTCCTTTTTCTTTAAATCTTACACTTACTCAGGGGCATGCTGTGTAGCTGGGTGGCTGGTCCCTGATGTCCTCCTCCTTCTCTGGCTCCTAGATCTCCCCTCCCAGGATTCTCCCTCTATATATTCTCTCTGCCTGCCTGCCCTACCTATCCTTTTTCACATAGGCACAGTAACAGAGCTTCACAGAGTTGAACAAATGCAACACACACACACACCACACACACACACACATACACACACACACACACACACACACACACACACACACACACACACCAAAAACAAAAACAAAAAAACCATCTTAAAATAATGTTCTACTGCACTGGGCTAGTCAAAGAATGGTTGGAAAGTTATTATTGCAATGTTTCCTGGGAAGACCAGAGCTCTGGCATAGGTGCTGTGGGAGAAAGGGGTCCCTGGGGGCACACACATTTTCCAATGTGCACTCAGCGTGAAGATGGGCCGATAAGTGGTTAGATGGTTTTGAACAGAGTCTGTGGTGGTGGCAGCAGTAGTGTTGGGGTTCATGTGACAAAGGGACAGTTTGGCAAGGTAGTGTTCATGAAGGCGTGTGGCTCCAGGAGGTAAGTCACTTAGGAGCCTTGTAGGGTGCCTGGGATCATGGTCTTGTGAGTAGGTCACATCTGAGCCATGTTCAACATTGGCCATTTAAGCTGGAGCTGCTTTGATGGAGATCAGTCGTGATTATCATAGAACCCCCTAATTCTCATTGCTACCAGCCATTCACTGTTAGCCTTAGTATGCAAGAAACCTGATGTGCAGTTTACCTTTCCTCATTTGGTTACCAAGTCCCTGGGGGCCACAGACTCAGCTAAACTTCGAATTAGTGAATAAAATAGGCAATTGTCTTTGCCCTGTGACTAAATTTTCTTGTACCTGAGGAAAGCCCACCTGATGCAAAGGTTGACAAAAAGGAGTAAAACACCCCCCCCCCGTGGAAGGTCCTCAGAGGAAAGCCAATACATAAACACCCTTTGGGAATGAGGCTTATTATACTAGCAGGACTTCAAGGACGTGACCGAGTATCGTGGTGGAAAGGAGAACATTAGATAGAAGAAAACATAAGAGACAGAATAACATTATCCTTTACTTTACAGCTGATATGCACTTATGAGTGAGTACATACCATGTTTGTCTTTCTGAGTCTGGGTTACCTCGCTCAGTATGATTTTTTCTAGTTCTGTGCATTTGCCTGAGAATTTCATGAAGCCATTGTTTTTAATAGCTGACTAATACTCCATTGTGTAAATGTATCACATTTTCTTTATCCATTCTTCTGTTGAGGGGCATCTAGGTTGTTCCATTTCTGGCTATTAGGAATAAAGCTGCTGTGAACATGGTTGAGCATGTACCCTTGTGGTACGTTTGAGCATTCCGTGAGTATATATATGCCCAAGAGTGGTATAGCTGGGTCTTGAGGAAGAAGGATAATCATGCTACAATCCATAGACCCAGAGTAGCTAAATAACAAGAATGACTCAAGAGGGGATACATGCAACTCCCTGGAGAGGGGAAATAGAATAGATTTCTTGGGTGCCTGGGGACATGTGTGCATGGGAACAGGGGGGATCAGGTGGGAAAGACAACTGGAACTGGGGGGCTCTTCAGGGGTGAGATGGAAACCTAGTGCAATGGAATGGAAACAAACTCCCAGGAATCTGCTAGGGTTATCCTGGGGAAGAGTGTTAGGATCCTGGACATGCGAAGCTTGGGGGTCTTGCATCTTACATTATCAACACTAGCAAATACATACCCGCAGTGTGGTCACACGATCCCTGCCTTAAAAAGCCAGACAAGGACCCCTACCCCCTCTCTCTGTTCCCTCTCTGCCCTCTGCTCTGTTCTGCTCTGCTCCACCCCACAGACCTGGATCCCCTCTTTCTTCCCCCCTTTCCCTCCTAATAAAGCTCTAGAAAGCACCATTGGGTTCTGTCATGAACCTTTACCTTTCCATGTGGTAACCAGTGCAGCCAACAATACCACAACCAGAACCATGTAAGTATCAAAAAGTCCTAGCAATGCGGGATACAGAGTCTGAACCAACCACCTTCTGACACCAAGAAAGGCTTCCAGTGGAGGGATTGGGACACCAACCCAGCCACAAAGCCTTTGACCTACACTCTGCCCTGCCTGTAAGATGTGCTGGGGTAAATGTGGGGCAGAACTTCTGGGAGTGGCCAACGTATGGTCCAACTTGAGACCCATGACACATGAAGGAGCCTACACCTGACACACTGCGGGGAGGACCAGGAACCCGAGGCAGGACAGCCCAGAGACCTAGGATAGAAACATACATGACCTGCAATACAAAAAAAAAAGTCAGTGAAATGGATGCTATCCTCTGCGACTGAAGCCTAGCATTATCATCATCATCACCAGAGAGGCTTCACCCAGCACTGATGGGGGCAAATGCAGAGACCCACAGCCAAACATTAGGCAGAGCTCAGAAGTCCTGCTGAAGAGGAGGAGGAAGAAGGAGCATGGGGCCAGAGGTGTCAAGGACATCACAAGAAAATGGCCCACAGAATCAACTAACCTGGACTTTATGGGCTCACAGAGACTAAACCAACAACCAGGGAGCCTGCATGGATCTGACGTGGTCCTCTGCCTAGATGTTACAGTTGTGTGCTTGGTGTTCTTGTAGACAACTAACAGTGGGAACAGGCTGTTTCTGACTCTTGGCCTGCTTTTGGCACGCTTTTCCTCCTTCTGGGTTGTCTCTTTCAGCCTTGGTGTTAGGTGAATGTGCCTGGTCTTGTTGTACGTGATTTGCCATATTTAGTTGATAAACCTGGGATGCCTGTCCTTTCTGAAGGGGAACAGAGGAGAAGTGGGTCTGGGGTAGGGAGGTAACTGGGAGGAGAGGAGGGAGGGGAAACTGTAGTCAGGATGTAAGACATGAGAGAAGACTAACTAAAGAAATAAAAGAGTGAGAATACCCTGGACACGGTGGCAAATGCCTTTCCATTCCAGAGGCCGGACCAGCAGACCTCTGTGAGTCTGATGCCAACATGGTGGACATACTGATGTCCAGGCCAGCCGGGACTCTGTAGTGAGACTCTGATTCAAAAAGCAGAGAACAGGACTGAAAATGTGAAAGATCTGGAGAGAGAGAGAGAGATGGCAGGGGAAGGCCAGCCAGAGGAGACTTTCACAGAGCATCCTTCAGCTCCAGACTGACTCCACTAACACTCTCCCAGTGGAAGCTCTGATCAGACAGACACCAGAAGAAATTCAAAGTCTGACCTTAGAACGATTGAACAGTGGCAAGAAAGTTTCACGTCACGTGAGTTCATGTCACTTATGTGACTGGAAGCATGTGGAAGTCAGGTGCCATATTTGACAGATCTCAAGCCTCAAGAAATACTGCTCCTTTTTTCAATTTAACATAATTTCTTTTTTGACTCTTTGGGAATTTCACAGCATGCACCCCAGTTCCACTCATCTCCCGGTCCCTTCATATCCTCCCATCCACCCATTTAGTAGCCTCCCAAGAATGAAAAAAAAATCAAACCAAGACAAAACAAGCAACCAAGGGGACAAACAAAAAGAAAAACAAAAACAAAATGCAACAACAAAAATACCCTCTTCAGTGCTCCATCTTTCCTGCCTGTCCACACCTCTTCATTTGTCCTGGTGGCTTTGGGAGCCTCGGGGTGTCACACAGTATTTAGCCTTTTGTCCAATCAGCCTTACTAGCCAATGTTCATTGCCATGAGTCCCTGGCCTGGACAAGGCCTCTGGTTTCTGGCACACCATCATCACTGGATTCTCACCGGAACTCCTCTTAGATACCCTGTGACCTCTCCGAGTAATGGAGGTATTGATGTTATCATTCCACAGGAGCAGTCCCTTCACAAGCTCCAGCAGGTCCTGGATGAGGTAGATGTAAGGGTGAACCAACCCCAGGCCCGGCTGTGGGCCTGGGTGGTAGCTGAGCTAGTCATTCCAGGCCATCAGGCCACCACCCTCAGGCAAGGGCGGAGCCAGGTCCCCTATGACCATGCCATCAAAGTGAACTCTCCTCTACGTGTGGTGAGGGTTGGGGCCCTCTCTGCTGAGCACAAGGGGAGGGGGGCAGCTCTCCTAATGCAATGTCCAGTGAGGAGCAGAGCCCACTATGTTAGGGCCAGAGAAGGGCAGAGCTGGCTCAGAATGGCCCTCTGACTCCATCACCCGTGATTCCCATGGCCCCCTGAGGTGACATGGGCTACAGGCACCAACACTGCAGACCCCATTTGCAGCAGGACCACAGACCCAGACATGGTCCTCAGCAGCAATTGGGTCGGGATGACATCCTGGCTCCTGGTGGAAACACAGACTATCCGGATCAGGATGGCTCTGGTGACAGCATGCCCCATCCCCCACATCAACAGGGCACAGGTTTGGGCCCTGACCCTGGGCCTCCATGTAACCTTTGTTGGAGGCATGTCCCCAGCTACAGCGGGACAACAGACCCAGACACCGTCCTTGGCAGCATCCAGTTCTGGATATCACCATGGCCCCAGGTGGCAGTGAACACCACTCAGATCTACAGGGCCCCAGAGGCAACATGGTCCTCAGACACTAACATGGCCACAGATCTCATGCATCCACATGGTCTTCCACAGCCACAGGAACCTCAGAAGTCAACAGAAACCCTGGCTGCTATAGGG